TTGCTCCAACCCCCATCCTTGGCCCCTCCCTCTGGGGGAATGGGATCAGTGGGAACGATCCTGATCCCGCATTCCCAGCCCCTTCCCGTGCCCGCAGGACCTGGACGTGAGCACCCTGCACCGCACCGAGCTGGAGGTGAAGCTCAAGGGGCTCCAGGAGCTGATGGAGCTCAAGAAATCCATCTACGAGCAGGTGAGACCCCCGGGAGAGGCCCCGGGAAAACCTGGAATTCCGGGGGGGGGCAAATCCTCTCTGGAGAGGGAGTTTTCCTGGATTTCTGGCGGAACGGGAGCCGAACGCGGCCGTGCCGAGGGTTAGGCCGGGTCTAAGGAGTTAATCCCGTGCCGAGGGTTAGGCCGGGTCTAAGGAGTTAATCCCGGTCCCTGCGCTCACATTCCCAGTTTAAGTCGGGTCAGGAGGTTCCTTCGGCCCCTCGGACTTTGGGGGAGGGGGTTGGATTCCCCTGGAACGGGCAGGAATTCCCGGCTCATCCCAAACTGGAGCTCAGCTCCTGCTCGCCGGGGACGGGGTTTGGTCCCAAGTCCCGAGAGAGCCCAAAATTCCCGAACTCAGGGGAAGAACTCCAGGACTGGGACACCTGGAGAAGGTGGGGGAGGGGCTGGAGAATCCCAACCACGTCCCAGCAAACTCCTTTCCCAGGGATCCAAGGACAGGGATGATCCCAGGGAAGGGAGGGAAGGACCCCGAGGCCGCTCCAGCCTCAGGCAGAACCATCCCAGGACCTGGAAAACGTCACCCAGCGGGCTCAGAAATGGGGGAATCCTGGGGATTTATTGGAATTCCGGCATTCCAAGCTCTTAAAACGCCTGGCAGGGGAACACTGACATTTCCTGGGGGAAGGGAAGGATCCAGGGAGAGCTTGGAGCCCCTTCCAGGGCCTGAAGGGGCTCCAGGAGAGCTGGAGAGGGACTGGGGACAAGGGCTGGAGGGACAGACACAGGGAATGGCTTCCCAGTGCCAGAGGGCAGGGAGAGATGGGATACTGGGAAGGAATTCCAGGCTGAGAGGGTGGGGAGGCCCTGGGATGGATTTCCCAGAGGAGCTGTGGCTGCCCCTGGATCCCTGGGCGTGTCCAAGGCCAGGCTGGATCCCCCTGGGATGGTGGGAGGTGTCCCTGCCCATGGACAGGTGCTTCCACTCCCATTCCTGCTGGATTTGGGAATGTTCCACCCCTCCAAGCTCCTCCTCCAGACCTTTTATCCCCCAAAACCAGCAGTGGGACCAGGACTGCTGGTCCTGGCTGAGCCTGGACCATCTCCAGGCTCTTCTGAGCCACTCCAGGGTTTTTTGGGAGCCACACGTGGCCCAGACTCCCTTTGGAATTGGGATCACCACCCCCTGTCCTCCTCCAGACCTTTATCCCCCAAAACCAGCAGTGGGACCAGGACTGCTGATCCTGGCTGAGCCTGGATTATCTCCAGGCTCTCCTGAGCCCGCCCAGATCCCAGATTTCCCAATCCCAGCCTTTCCCAGCCCATCCTGGTGGGATTTTTTCCCCCCCACCCACCTTTTTGAGCTCCATGAAGGTGAATTCCATCCCGCTGCAGAGACGGATTTCATCCTCGTACCTGGAAAACGGGAAAAAACCCGGAATTACATCCCGGGAAAACCTCAGGGCAGCTCCAGGTTGGTCTGGAGCCCCCCCAGATTTATCCAAAGCTCCCAGTTTTCCTCTCCCCGAGCTGGGATATCCCGGGCTGGGATCCCAACCGCATTCCAGAGGCTCTGGAATAACCCCGGGAGCGTTTTAGGGCTGGAAAAGCCCCGGGAAGGGAGGAGGGAGTTTAATCCTGGCTTAATTTGGGGGCTGGGAAGCCTCAGTCCCCTCCCAGAGGGGGGAAGGGGGAGTTGGGCTTGGCCCAAATTCCTCAGTTTTCACCCCAAACCTTTCCCAGAGTCTGAGGCTCTTCCCAAGGGAAGGAAACCCCTTGAAAATTCCAAGAGTTCTGCTGTCCCAGCTGATCCCAAAGGATTTGGGAAGTAACAAAGGGTCTGGCAAAGGAATTCCTGGAAAGCAGAGCCCATGGAGCAGCTGGGAAAGGGTGAATTCCCAAATATCCTTGTGAGGAACCCGCAGGAGTTTAAAGTCAGGTGGGATAAGGCAGGACCAGGTGGATCCTGCTCCCAAAAATACCCAAACCTGCTCCTAAAAATATCCAAACCTTCTCCCCAAAAATATCCAAACCTGCCCTAAAAATATCCCAACCTGCTCCCAAATAACATAGCAGCCTGCTCCCAAAAATATTCAAACCTGCTCCCAAAAATATCCAAACCTGCTCCCAAGAAATACCTAAAACTGCACCCAAAAAATATCTAAACCTTCTCCCAAAAAATATCCCAACCTGCTCCCAAAAATATCCCAACCTGCTCCCAAAAATGTCCAAACCTGCTCCCAAATAACAACCAAATCTTTTCCCAAAAAATATCCCAACCTGCTCCCAAAAAATATCTAAACCTGATCCCAAATCACATCCCAACCTGCTCCCAAAAAGATCCAAACCTGCTCCCAAAAATATCCAAACCTGCTCCCAAAATAACACCCAAACCTGCTCCCAAAAAATATCTAAACCCGATCCCAAAAAATATCCAAACCTGCTCCCAAAAAATATCCAAACCTTCTCCCAAAAATATCTAAACCTGCTCCAAAAATATCCAAACCTCCTCCCAAAAAGATCCAAACCTTCTCGTAAAAAATATCCAAACCTTCTCCTAAAAATATCCAAACCTGCTCCAAAAATATCCAAACCTGCTCCCAAATCACATCCAAACCTGCTCCTAAAAAATATCTAAACCCAATCCCAAAAAATACCTAAAACTCCTCCTAAAAAATATCCAAACCTGCTCCCAGAAATATCCAAACCTGCTCCAAATCACATCCAAACCTGCTCCTAAAAAATATCCAAATTTGCTCCCAAAAATATCCAAACCTGCTCCCAAAGAATATCCAAACCTGCTCCCAAAAATATCCAAACCTGCTCTCAAAAATATCCAAACCTGCTCCCAAAAATATCCCAACCCGCTCCCAAATCCCACCCCAAGCCTCTCCCAGCCCTGCGGAGTTGGGATAGACTGGGGTGGACTGGGATGAACTGGGATTGATGGGGATTGACTGGGATTGACTGGGATGGACTGGGAGCAATTGGGACAGACTGGGATGGACTGGAATGCACTCCCATTCCAGGCCCCCATTCCAGCCCCCATTCCAGACCCCCATTCCAGGCCCACATTCCAGACCCCAATTCCAGTCCCCCATTCCAGTCCCCCATTCCAGACCCCCATTCCAGGCCCCCATTCCAGACCCCAATTCCAGTCCCCCATTCCAGTCCCCCATTCCAGACCCCCATTCCAGGCCCCCATTCCAGACCCCAATTCCAGTCCCCCAT